CGCACCGAGGCCCCGGGCCCTCGTGTTTGGATTCGTCGGCTCTGGCTCTTTGTTGCCCCCGAGCCTCCAAGGATTTCTTTTCTCTCCGGTGCGTAGGCTGCGCTGTCGCCTTTACTCATTCTTGACCGCCCTCTCCCTTCCACTCATCCTACGTCCACACGGTAATGGAACCGGCAGAATTCAGGGGCCCGGGTTTCATTGTTGCACCTAATAAGTACACAAAAGGAGAAATGCAGACAGCCATTCATTCATCTGATATATATTTATTGAGGCCCTATTTTGTGAAAAACCAGCTGAGACAGGTTCTCAGAGCCCCTGGGCAGGCTTTGAGCAGGCTCTCCGCAGGCCTAATTGGGGGTTGGGCTGCGGGGGGGAGGGGCGGGGGGGAGGCGGGAGGCATGGTGAAGCACAGTGTTTTTTTCTGGGGTGTCCCATTTATCATTACTACAACCCTGGGAGCTAGGTACCATCTCCCCAAACTACAGGACTTATGTTGTAGGTTCAAGAAAATGGCAGGCAAACTTAGCAGCCCAATGCTCACTTCTAAAGTTGATACTTTCCTTTTTGAGGAAGTTTCCTTGTCACATCTATGCTAAGTAAATAATTCCTTCAGAATCTTAAAACTTCTTGAGTCTCTGGGTATGACTTCCCTCACTACCTCCAGGTTAGTTCAGAATGAAGCAAATTCTTTTTGGAGACACAAAACTGAATTCATTGGTTAAATCTACCACTTAACACTTGTGACTATCCCCCATGCATGACAATGCCGTCCTTTGGGGACCCCTAGCCAGGTGAGAGGAGTTAGCTTGACACACAGGCAGGCAGGGCAGGGGTCCAGTGGAAAACAAAGGCAGGTGGAACAGAGGCGAAGGCAGCCAGGGGAGTTTGAGCAGCCTAATCACAGAAACCAACCATGCAGGAATAACAGACTGTTTTTAGACTCAGAGCCAGAGGCATGTGAAACTAGGGAGGGACTGCAACAAGAAGGTGAACTGATGGTGAACTGACGCATAGAAATGGAAATTTCAGGTCCCTTGCTGGGCAAGAATGCTTGAGGGAATCAATCAGGTGGTGACACAGGCTTGTAGCACATATATACTCCTAGACCAATTAGCTTCCCTGGCAACCCTTTATTGGGCCCCTCCCGGTGCCGGCAGTCTGAATCTGCTTGCAATAAGTTTTCCACACATTGGCTTAAATCTTCCGAGATCTCATTTTTCAGCTTTGAGACATGACAGGGGGACGACTCAGCTTCCTATTCCAGTTATGACTGGGGCAGTTATTGCAGTTATTTTAGTAGTTATAGTTTGTCTCTTCAAAAAGAGCAACTGAACATTTCAGCTGGAAATCCGCCCCAGGGATGGTTGTCAAGCCTGGCTCTACATCCGAGGATGTGCCCTCAGACAGGTGGGTCTCAACTATGTGTACGTTACCAGGGAGAACTGAGCGGGTGTGCACCTGAAGGAGTTCCTGGAAGATCAAATTGCTGGAGGAATCTGTGACCTCCCACCTCAAGAAAAATTCTAAATCATTCTAGGCTGACCTTTTTTTTCCCCCTCCCACATAGAAGGAAACAGGACCAAGACATGAACCAACTTCGCAGCCAGGTAAAGGGTAGAGTCAGGTGTGTCAACTCCTCTTATGGAATGATTCCCCTAAAGACATCAACTTTGTGGTCAGACCCCAAATCTCCATCCTCTGGCGCATCTAACTCCAATCTAAACCTCAGCCTGCGGCAGGAGATGGGAGAAGGCATCGGCTTCCTACCTTAAATGGCTAAATTGAAGTCCTAGAGTGGTTTGGGTTAGATCTAAATAACCTGTGCTAAGCTGTTCCCCTTTAGAAGCCATCAGAAAATTACACTTCCATTTTAAATGTCTCTGAAAATTGTGCTCTTCTCTGTCAGGAGATAATGTGTCATTTGCTTTATCTAATAAAGAGAGCTGGCCAGGACCAGACAACGCCCTGTTTGTGGCCACTCTGGGCCCTCACTGAAGCACCGAAGCCTGGTGTGAATGAGTTTGCTCAGTAGCAATATTCTTTTTGAGCCCCTTGGCCTGCTATGTGCTGTTGCCGTCAATGTGGTGGGAAGCCTGGTTACAAAAAGTCTTGTCCGAGAGTTCGTTCTTTGAAAGGTAGATCAGGAGAATGCAATGTGCCCAGTGTGGCTCTTAAATCCAGACAACAAGGATCCTGCCCTGGGCTCCCAACCTGGTCCTCCTCTTGCCACATCCCACCCCTTGTGGTAAAATTTCTGATGGGCTGAGGGGCAGGATGGGAAAGCCCCTTCAGCCCTCTAGAACATGCTTGGTGTGAAGGACACGGAAATGCCTGTGCAAACAGCCTCAAGCCTGCTTGTAGAAGGCCGGGCAGTCTTTCAGAGCCATTCGGGAGTTACGTAGCCACTCGAGGCCTCTGGGGGTATGGATGGAGTTGACTGTCCCTCTGTGCCCACAGGCTCCTCACTGTGCTCAATGGAGCCTAGGTTGGGATGAGAGGACCACATTTGCTAGCCTGATATAGCACACTAGAGGCCCGGTGCATGAAATTTGTGCAGGGGGTGAGGGGGTGTCCCTCAGCCCAACCTATACCCTCTCCAATCTGGGACCCCTCGAGGGATGTCCGACTGCCCATTTAGGCCCGATCCCCAGGATTGGGGCTAATCAGGCAGTCAGACATCCCTCTCACAATCCAGGACTGCTTGGCTCCCAACCACTTGCCTGCCTGCCTACCTGATTGCCCATAATCACTTCTGCCTGCCCCTGATTGTCCCCAACTGCCCTCCCTTGCAGGCTTGGTCCCTCCCAACTGCCCTTCCCTGCTGGCCTGGTCACCCCTAACTGCCCTCCTCTGCCAGCCATCTTGTGGAGGCCATCTTGTGTGTTGGAGTGATGGTCAATTTGCATATTACTCTTTTAGATAGGATTTAAACATTTAAATATACAATATATGGACCATCGTGTGTAGTCTTGCCCCAAGCCTATGGCCCTGCACATGTCAGGATCTTCCTAAAAGCAAAAAATGATCATCTCAGTTTGAAAAACTGATTATTCAAAGTTTTCTTGCCTTGGATATCTATCCAATGCCATGGTCCTCATCTATAAACTTTCCCAAATCTTTTCAATAGATTTTTATATATATCAGAGAGGAAGGAAGAGGGAGGGAGAGAGAGAAATATCAATGATGAGAATCATTGATCGGCTGCCTCCTGCATGCCCCCTACTGAGGATCGAGCCCACCACTGAGGTATGACCAGGAATCAAACAGCAACATCCTGGCTTCATAGGTCTACACTCAACCACTGAGCAGTCATGCCAGCCAGGCTCCCAAATCTTTTCATTTCTCCTGTCTTTCTTACTCTGAGGCTGTTTTCATTTTAGCCACTGCCCTATGGTTGCAGTAATATCTCAGGCACATTGGCTTTCTCCCAGAGTGTAGACCCTCTGTTAGGGCACAAGTCTTCTAGGGGAGAACATGTGTGAAGAGGTTGGGTCTTGAGCAATAGGGGAGGATCCTATGCATTGTGGGCATTAGTCTTCCATTCATTACCTGTCGATAACAGTGTGGATGGCCCCAGGCAGCTGGGGTACTCTGCTGTCACCCCTTGGTAGACTAGCAACAAGCTCCAAGGAAGCTTTCATCCCTCATTTATTTTCTTCTGCCTTCAACATACTTGACTTCCTTCCATCTTGACAGATTTTTTTCTTGACCTTGCTAACCTTCTAGCTACTGTCTCACTGCCTTACTTCCTTTCTCTGTCAAATATCTTACATAAGTGGTCTGGAGCCAGTCTGGTTGTCTCCACTGGTTCCCTTCTTGGACCCAGTAATCTGGCTGCTAGCCCCAGTAGCCAGCACATTGCTCTCTAGAAGGTTCACTCACGCTTCTTCCTTCCTTGACCTTCCATCACTGAAAATGTTAAGTAACTTCCCTTCAAAACTTTCTCACCTCCTTGATTTTAACCTTTTTTGTTTTGATTTTGTTAGATGAACATGTAGGAAATCAAGAGAAAGGTAGGAAGAGGAGGAGGAAGGCATGTCCCTCTAAAACAGCGGTTCTCAACCTGTGGGTCGCGACCCCTTTGGGGGTCGAACGACCCTTTCACAGGGGTCGCCTAAGACCATCGGAAAACACAGATATAATTATTGTTTTGTGATTAATCACTATGCTTTAATTATGTTCAATTTGTAACAATGAAATTGGGGGTCACCACAACATGAGGAACTGTATTAAAGGGTCGCAGCATTAGGAAGGTTGAGAACCACTGATTTAAAAGGTTTTAGGCCTGTTCCAAAGACGAGGATTAGAAATAAAAATAAAGCCAAATTTGACAGAGGGCAGTTTAACCACAGGGATCTTCAAGGTCATGTCCTCTAAACTCTGGATATTGGGATGGCTGAGCTATCTAAGAATAATCACCAGCAATAATAGCTAACATGCACGAAGGCTTCCTGTGAACTCAGGCTCTGTTCTGTATGCTCTTCGTGCAGTGTTTCCTTTAACCTGCACAAGAGCCTTGAATAGCAGGTCCCATTATTATCCCGTTTTACAAACGGAGAAAAATGAAAATGGAGCTACTGAATGGCAGAATCCAGGCTCACAACAAGGCAGAGTCCAAACCTCCTGTTTTAATCACTGTGCTGTTTCTTGGAGGTGTGTGTGTCGGGGGGGAGGGGGAGGGTGGAGAGGAATGGGTCTAAGTTCATTGTCAGCCAACTGAGTATTTTAAGCTGTAGAAAAGTGGTACCAGCTGAAAGCAGGGAAGACATCCATCTACAGTTAAAGTGAACTCTGCTCTTATAATATGTGTGAAGAACATTGGGCCACCCAAAGATTAAACAGCCCCAAACACAAGAACTAGGTTTAACATCTGTTATTAAAACAGAATTTCTCTGCCCTTCGTTGATAAATTGTTTGATTTGCTTCTTTGTTTGCTTATTTGAAGGAAAAAGGGATAAGTATAAGTGTCCATAAAAATCTGTCCTTCAATTAGAGGGCATTTTAGATTCTGTCTTTTAAGAAGATTTAAAAAAAAAAGGGGGGGGAGAAAGAAAGCTTTCCACACTCTTCTTTCCCAAAATTTAATAAATCTGCCTTGGAATCACCATCCGATTTGAATGAGAGCCAGTTCATATCAGTACTGGCTAAGAAGCCTGAGAGTGGTCACTTAACTACCAACAGGGAGTGTAAAAAATGTGTTCAAGACACTGACTCCCCCTGAGAGCAAAGGCAACACTGTCCCAATGTCTGTTGTTTTTTCTTTCCCCTGCACTACAGAAAACAAATTTATCTTGGACTGGGCAGCATTCGATTTAACATTGGCTCTCTTTGTGTTTCCAGGTCAAGTGGGAACACATATGCTCCCTACTGAGGAAAATAAACTGCAGTGTATTTTTAGCATCCGTTGGAAGGACTCACAGCTGAAGCTACGCAGGATCCAGGCCATTCACTGAAGGCCCAAGGATTGGCCGCAATGTCACCAAGAATTCCAGAATGTGCCCTGGGGGTCTGTAAGTAACAGTGTCCCCTTGCCCCCCCACCTTACCCTCGGCCATTCGCAACCCCAATCCTGTTGCAAATATTTTTCTCCTGAGAAAGAGAGAGAAAACATTCCAGTGAAAGATCAATGAGAAACATCTGTGAAATAGTTATGACACATGACGCTAACTATAGCACACTTGGCACTCTGAGATGGAGCAGGTTCAGGAGGGAAGAGGGAGCATTGGGAGCAGAGATGATGCCCTCCCTCCCCCGGTGCCTCACGCTGGAGATAAGCCATGCACAGGGAGCCACCATATGTGTCTTCGGGAAAGAGGACAGGTGCCACTCTGGCACACCTGGCCGCTCCATGGCATGGTGAGCTTGCCCAGATGGTCTCACCCTCCATGGGTGGCATGGGCAGTGTGCAAGGGGACCCTCATCTGAAATGGAAGGTTTGCTCACGAGATTTGGTGACAGTGAGACATACAGTTTAAGACCTTCCTTCTGCCTGCACAGTTTTGAAAAATATTTTCCATTTTTGAAAACCGATTTAGGCAACTGTGTTAACGTAAAAACATTCAAACCGATAAAGTATGTTTGTGAGTTTATTTTAGCCAAACTCTTGACAATTGCCGGGTTTGGGATAATGCTCCAGAGAATGGAGGCTTTCATCTATTTTTAAAAAATATATATTTTCTTGATTTCTTTACAGAGAGGAAGGGAGAGGGATAGTGAGTTAGAAACATGGATCAGCTGCCTCTTGCACACCCCCTACTGGGGATGTGCTCACAACCAAGGTACAGGCCTTTGACTGGAATTGAACCTGGGACCCTTCAGTCCGCGGGCCAAGGCTCTATCCACTGAGCCAAATCAGTTAGGGCTTTCATCTATTTTTAAACATTGCAATCAAAGGAGACATCAGTGGGTTACATGAATCTCATTGGTGATAGAATAGAGAGGCAGGAAAAAGCAAAGCAGGGAATCCTCTGGGATTGGATAAAGAGTAAAATGACAGACACTTACGTAGGTGGGTGCAGGATAGTTAACAGTCAATGATTTTCATAACAACAGTAACAATGAAGGAATTTGTGGTATCTGCCCTGGCACCCAGGGCATTTGGTTGTGTCCTGAGGGGTCTGGAAAAAGGGAAGTTTCAAGTTACCATGACATTTCAATGATACTTTTTGTTATCATAGATGCAAAAAGACAATAAGTTAAAGTAAAGGTTGACCTTGTCAGGGAAGATACAGGCCTAGGAGGTGACTACCCACCATAACTGCTTTTAGTTAAAGTTTTTAGTTTCAGACCATCCTTTGTGGTTATGCTAGGTCTTTGAGTTTGAAAGACTGCCATGCAAGCCTTCCCTGAATTTATCAGGTTAGCATGTGGCCCCTTTCATCCACAACTGTTAGCTTTTAAATGAATGAGACAGTGATATTGTATCCTTCTTTCAAAAATAAAAACAAGCCCTGACCGGTTTGGCTCACTGGATAGAGCGTCGACCTATGGACTGACGGGTCCCGGGTTTGATTCCGGTCAAAGGCATGTACCTTGGTTGCGGGCACATCCCCGATGGGGGTTGTGCAGGAGGCAGCTGATCAATGTTTCTCTCTCACCGATGTTTCTAACTCTCTATCCCTCTCCCTTCCTCTCTGTAAAAAATGAATAAAATATATTTAAAAACAAAAACAAAATCTTGAGGCATTTGTAAAATAAAAACAGTCTTTGGTGGCGTCATATAACACACATCACGAAGCAGAGCATAAGATAAAAAATGTGAGGTCTTCCCAAAGAACTATAATTTTGATTAGTATTGTAGTTATTAAAAGACAGGAAAGGCAAAGTTACCGTGAATGTTATTCACGATATTTATTACTCTTGTACCCAAAAGAGAAAACTTTCTGCTTAAAATTCTGTAGAATAGAACAATAAAACCTGATCCCCTACCCACTCTACATCCTACGAAATAGTGAGATGGCTTGAGATAATAAGGGTTTATGGTGAGCTGTTTTATAAGAATCACGGTTGGTCATAACTTCATTATAAATTCATCTAATATTTATAGAAGGCCTGTGCAGGATGGCTGGATACGAGACTACTTGGGAAAGCTTCTATCTCTGTTCTCGTCATCAAGGTGTAAAAGTAAAGCATTCATCTGACATTAAGGCCGTCTCAAAAGCTATGGTCCTCTCCTAAATTAGATACTGTCTAGTTCAGAATTGTCAGAGCAGGTTGAATGGACGTCCTGATGACGTCACCAGCAACCCCTCAGCTGTGTTCCTTTGTTCCCTAACTACAGTGGCTCTTCAGGTGTAAAAACAATTTGAGGAAGCCCTTCCCTTCCTCTGCAAGGTAACATTGTTCCGAGGGTGTGGTTGTTCTTGAAAACAATTTTATTAACACTACATTTTCAAAGCTAAGAATATTAAGTTTATATATTAGGAGTTTGGGTTTTGTTCAGAATATTGAATGTATTACTTTTCCCTTCCTTTGGCTTTTAAAATACATTTTTAAAAAAAAAATAAAAATAAGTTTAACGTGACGTACAAATTAAGTGCAAATATTTCCCAAAGTAAACTGGAGAAATTATAGGAGACTTCTACTAGAAGGTTAGGTTTGTAGGAGAGAAAAAAATATTTTTCCCTCTACCCCTCTGAATTCTTGGCTAAGACCTCTGTAATGAAGAACAGATCAACAAGAGAAACACAAACAGAAGTTTATTAACATGTATAACTCATGTACACATGGGAGATACCCAGGGATAAGTGACTAGCTCCCCGGGGTGACTTAGAATCAGGTGAAATACCATGCTACTAGGACAGTGGAGAGAGATATAGGCCTCTTGTGGGAGAGTAAAGATCTTCAGGAGAGATGAATGGGCCCTGAGCAGAACAGATGGGCGGTATGATCCTTTGTGACAGGTGTGTCTGGGTGTGATGCCCATTTCTAGCCTCTTCTCCTGACATGAGTCAGTCCTCCTTGCTTGATGACACTCCTGGGGAGGGATCTGTGACAACCCAGTTCATTTTGGAAGATCTTGAGGCAGATATGGGAGCTGAGAGAAAGCCTCTCCCTGCACCTGCTGTTTCTTAAGTGCTTACAGCTCAGAGAAATCAATATGCCCAAACAGCATGTTTTGAAGTGGCTCGTCCTGAACTCCTACAGTCATATTCTGGGTGGCATTCAGCTGCTCTTCAGGTTCCACGCGACACTGGGCATAGTCACCTACCCCTCCCGCTTGTCATTGTTGTGTCAGAGGCTTTGTTTCTGCAAAACAATGGAATTAACTGGGACCAAACTCTCAGGTTTTTTCTTAAATTGCAGTGGTTACTTTCTTGCAGATGATATTCCTAAAATGGATAGTTTTCATTTATTTTTAAATTTCCTGGCATGTAACATTACATCTATGCTAGAAGTTATGGGGGGGGGTCTTTAAAAATACAGTTAATGTGATGCGTACTTTCTGCATCTGTGTAAATTCACAGCAGTCCCTTTAGCTGCCCCCTGTCCACGGAGCAGTGGGTTCCCACAGCCATGTGGACAATGTGACCTCACACGCCTACTCTCAGTGCCCAAGGTAGGCACCTCATTAAAACTGGACCAAAGTTCCTATCTTAGAATTTTAGATTTAGGATTGTAGAGAAAGAAAAATCTCCCTCTAACTTTCTGACTTCTTGGCTAAGACTCCTGTAATAAAAGACAGATTTATAAGAGAAAAACAAACAGAAGCTTATTATCATGCATACCTCAAGTATACATGGAGATAATCAGGGGGAAATGAGTAATTAGAACGCTGGCTTATAGGGCAATTTCAGCTGACACCATAAGGAAGTGTGGGGGAGGCCAGTCTTGGGGCGTGGTGGAGGGTTATGCACATAAATTACTGCCTTTGTTAAGGGTCTAAAGTTGCCTCCAGGGATTGAATTTTGTCTTTCCTGGTAGAGTAGGAAGTAGGGAGACCTTTGAAAATGTATGTCTGCTTTTAGGCAACTAAGGGGAAGGCAGGGTACTTTTCTTATATCTGCTTCTTCTCAATAGCCTTCAGGCTCAACATAATCCTATGCCAACATGGCGTATTCTGAGGTGGCATGTCCTGCTAACCTTTAGGACTGAGAGTAGGAAAGTCTGTCTTTTTACGTTAAATTGGAGACCATGAGCAGCTATCCCTAGACCATCACGGGGACCTGGGAGCAGAGGAAATCCAGTCCACCAAGGAAGGAAAAGGTGGATATGACATGATAGCAGATATGAGCATGAGAGCATATTTCTTGGATTTCCAACATTTTGGTTTCTTGCCTAGTGTCCTTGAGTCTTAGCTACATTTTCTACCCCAAAGACTTGTAATAAATCCTCTGCTTTTGCTAGAGCACCCTTGAGTTTGTTTCTCTTCTTTGAAACCAAAAGAATCTTAGCATAGAAATTCTATGGAAGCGAGTTTGCAAGTTACAGACCATCAAAGAAAATGGTTATGTCATAGTAGATGAGGCGAGAAGTGGGTAGTCCTGGAAGCAAAGAACATACATATGTTACAGTATGTTCAGTTTTTGCAGCCTCAAGGAAATGCAATAAGATCAAGAAAAAGAGAAGCTTCAGGCCAAGGTTGCCCAGCTAAAAATAGACAGAAAAGGAGAGTAAGAATACAATTATGGCCCTGGCCCGGTGGCTCAGTTGTTTGGAACATTGTCCCATACACCAGGTTCCATTCCTGGTCAGGGCACATACCTAAGTTGCTGGTTCAACCCCCAGTGTAGGAGGCAATGTATCAATGTTTCTCTCTCACATTGATGTTTCTTGAAAGGGCGAGGGCTACACCCTCCATCTTGCCCCACAGGCCACATGGTGAATGTATGTCTCACTATATTGAAAGGGCGAGGACTACGCCCTCCATTATACCCTGGGTCCTCCATTTTTGACCTTGGCCATGTGCTCGGCAAGGCTTCTTCCCGGAAGCCCAAGCCTCTGCTACTCCGCTAGCCACACCCAGGACTTCTTTAAACTAACCAATGACAATCAAGGGACGTGCGTGCCATAGATATGACCACATCCTGTGTAACAAGACCCGACTTGCACCTGGCTAATCGGCAGGACCCACAATCATCTCTCCTCCCCTCACTCCACCCGCCTATTAAAACCCCTTTTTCCCACGGGACTGACGCTCTCATCTCGCCATTGCGTCGGTAGAGGCTGGGAGCCAGACCCGGGTCTGTAATAATAATAAAGACTCTCTGCTTTTGCATCGGGCTGGGCTGGCTCCCTGTTGGTCTATCGGGAATCTTGAAATCTGGGCATAACATTTCTTGCTCTCTTTCTAAAATCAATAAAAACATATCCTCAGGTGAGGAATAAAAAAAAATACAGTTATGTTCCAGAAGCCTTTCTGACTATAGTCAGCCACCTGAGACTGCCCAAAGTTAGTCCAAGAGGCATCTAAAAAGACACAAATAAATACAACCAGCTTCTGTATTATAGCCTTTTTTGAAATGAAAATTGGTGTGTTTATTGAGAAAATGTATCATTTCAGCGATTAGAATGGGAATATCTGGGAGAAACCAGAGGTGCTGAGAACTTCAACTCCAGAACTTCAGCTTTAATACCCCAAACCCTCCATAGGTGTCCCCTCTATTTGTCCCACCAGATAAGTGTGATGAGGCCTGCCCCATTGCAAGCAGTTCAGCTCAAATCTACTGGAGGCACAAGTAACATTTCATGATACATTAAGGGGAGAAAGTGCCATCAGAAGCTAAAGAAAATAATGGCGGAAATATTTTCAATTCCTAAAACATAGGGTTTATACTTAAGTTATATAAGGAATTTTTTATAAATCAGCTTGCAAATGATAAGTACCACAATTTTTAAAAAGCATGCATGGAAAACAATTTATAGTAGAAGAAATAGAGATTGATAATAAATATATAAAAAATAGTCTCATCTCAAGAGCAAAGTAATGACCTTAACGTAGGATACCATATTTAGCTCATCAAATCAGAGTAGATTTTAAAAAAACTTTCATTCTTTTTTTTTAAGTGATTTATAGAGAGAGGAAGGAAGAGAGAGAGAGAGAGAGAAACATTGATGTGATATGCAACCCATGATAGAACCATACCTGGATATGTGCCCTGACAGGGAATCAAACCCGTTACCTTTTGATGCAGGATTAACCAATTGAGCCACACTGACCAAGGTGGCATAGATTTCTTTTTTTTTTTAATCTTCACCTCTTTTTAAAAAAATATATTTTATGGATTTTTACAGAGAGGAAGGGAGAGGGATAGAGAATTAGAAACATCGATGAGAGAGAAACATCGATCAGCTACCTCCTGCACACACCCTATC